CTGACACTCAAGAGGCTGACACAGAACGCTGACTGCGTGGTAAGAGGAGGCTCAGTGTGTGCCAGGCAGCCCCGTCCCTGCCGCTCAGCAGCGTGGCCTTTGCTGGGGCGAGTGCTGTCGGGGAGTGGGGTGATGGCCGCAGCAATGGGCCCTGTGCTCCAGGCAGAGCATCCCTGTCTGGAAGGACTGAGCAGATGTGAGGTGGGGTGACTCCAGGGCCGAGGGCTCTGTGCTGAGCGCTGCTGTGCTGTCCAGTTGGGCACTGGTGCCTCCGTGACCCAGCACATTCTTCCCACGGCAGCACTGGCTCCACTTCCTCTGCTTGTGCTCGAGTCCAGCCTTGCTTTCAGTACTCACACATCCCAGCCAGGCAGCATCTTCAGGCTGCACCAGGGCCTTTGCTGAGCTCTAACCAAGACCCTGCTCATCTCTCCCAGCTTATCCCTGCGTGAGGCAGGGCAGGAGCCACGCTCCAGAGCTGCTGGGAGCTGCAAGGTGCTGGCCCAGAGGCAGAGCTCTTTGGGAGAGCACTGAGGAGCTCAGCCAGGACGGGAGGGAAGAGCTTCCACCGACAGTGTCAGTTGGGCTGCACATGGGTCAGAGAGTGGGTTCTGGTGTCTGCCACCTGCCGCAGTGCTCAGGGCCCGTGCAGGGCAATGGATGCCCTAGGACACAGGCTGGGATGTCCCTGTGCAGGCTGAGGCTCCTCACAGAGCCGGTGCTTTCCTCTTGCAGGTGGTTCTGGACAACACGGCCTTGAACCGGATCGCGACAGACCGGCTGCACATCCAGAACCCGTCCTTCTCGCAGATCAACCAGCTGGTGAGAAGGGGCAGCCTGCCCAGGCTGTGAGAAGCAAGGCTTGAATGTGACCATGGGTGACGCGGGTGCTCACCCCATCCTCTTCCCTCCAGGTCTCCACCATCATGTCTGCCAGCACCACCACGCTCCGGTACCCCGGCTACATGAACAACGACCTCATCGGCCTCATTGCCTCGCTGATCCCCACACCCCGGCTGCACTTCCTCATGACGGGCTACACGCCGCTCACCACCGACCAGTCGGTAATGCTGCCTGCTGGGAATGCCCCTTCCTGGGGCAGGAGCTGCCACGCTCACCTCATAACATCCATCAGTCCCGTGCTGCTGTTGGGAGCTGGGGTTGTGCATTCCAAATCCCAGCCCCACGTGTGACGTGCATCAGACGTGAGCAGGTCCTTAGACACCTGCTGGGCTCCTTGCTGCAGCCATGGCAGAGCTGACAGCAGCTGACCTGACAGAAGCCACCCTTAGAAACCATTGGAGCGAGCCCAGCAGAGTGGCTTTGCCCATCCTGCTGCCCCACTGTGCCACCAGCCTGGGCTCTCTGGGTCAGAACAGTGTTGGGTGTTGGCACTCATGGCCTCCAGGCGTCGTGTTCTGGGTGGGGGGGAACTGCCACCCCTGTCCTGCCGCCCGTGCTTGCATTCAGCTCGTCCCCAGGCAGTGCCCCTCGTGAGGGTGAGGTGTGAGAGGCTCTCACTGCGTTGGCCCTGCTGCAGGAGCGCACTCACGGCTGCTCTTCTCCTTATGTGCATTCCCTCAGGATGTTGCTCAGAGAAGCAAATCCGAGAAACTGCTGGCTCTGAAAAGGGTACTGAGTGTGTGACCTGTGCTGTGCCCAGCAGCGTGGGGAGGGCTCAGCCAGGGCCTGGAGCCGGGATGCCACATGCAGAGCTGTCCTTGCCCTGGGCTCTCCCCTGGGGGCCAGCCCTGGCTCTGGCAGCTCCCTTTGCCTGTGGTGGCCGGTGGGATCGAGCCTTCTCCTGTCCTGCAGCCCCGCTCCTTGCCTGGGCAGCAGAACGGGACAGGAGCTTGGTAGGAACAATGTGCAACGTGTCCCTATCACTGATCTCACCTGAGCCTCACCCCAGCCCCTGCTGGGGGGCAGCTCAGCACCCTTGTGTTGGAGCCCCTGCCCACGCTCTGGTTCTCAGCCTGGCTCTGCCTGTTGTGTGGCTTTGGGATCTCCCTGTCCTGCATGCGGCTCTGCACGTGTGTCCATCCCTGGGTGAGGGCTTCTCCATGCAGCTGCCCTGTGCTCCTGTGTGTGTGTGTGTGTGTGCAGGGCAGAAGCTCACCCGCTCCCTCTGACCCCAGGCTGGCATTTGCAGGTGGCCAGCGTGAGGAAAACCACAGTCCTGGATGTGATGAGGAGATTGCTGCAGCCTAAGAACGTGATGGTGTCCACAGGGCGAGACAGGCAGACCAACCACTGCTACATTGCCATCCTCAACATCATCCAGGGGGAGGTGGATCCCACACAGGTGAGCTGCCATGGCCATTCCAGATGGTGATGGTGATGACATGGCCAGCCAGGGGAGAGCATGCTCACCCTGTTCCTGTGAGGGGATCCTGGGGTAAGACTGAGCCATACCTGAGATGTGGCTCCAGTTGTTCCTATTGGCCCTGGCCTTGTGGAAGGCCGCTCGTTCCTGACCATGAGCAGCTCCATTTGCTGGAATCCACCTTCCTGCAGCCCAATACCCTGTGAGGAGCAGCTCCTGGCTCTGCTGGGACCAAGCTGCTCTGCCCATCGCCCAGCTGCCCTTCGCTGCTCTCACCCCACCAGGTTCACAAGAGCCTGCAGCGGATCCGGGAGAGGAAACTGGCCAACTTCATCCCCTGGGGTCCTGCCAGCATCCAGGTGGCTTTATCCCGCAAGTCCCCCTACCTGCCCTCGGCACACCGTGTCAGTGGCCTCATGATGGCAAACCACACCAACATCTCCTCGGTGAGCGCTTCCCCTGCACCTCCCGTGTCCCTTTGTGAGCCACGGGGGGGTCTCACGAAGCCGCAGCAGGCTGGGCGGCCGAGGGGAGGGGGGCACAGCAGGGCTGGGGTCCCATTCACCCTGGTGCTGCCCTCCGAGGAGCGGGCTGTGGCCTGGCTCCTCGGTGCTGGGTGCAGCGGTGGCAATGGGGCTCCCCAGGGGGGTGCCATGGCCGCGCTGAGCCCTGCGCCGCCCGCAGCTCTTTGAGCGGACGTGCCGGCAGTACGACAAGCTCCGCAAGCGGGAGGCTTTCCTGGAGCAGTTCCGCAAGGAGGACATCTTCAAGGACAACTTCGACGAGCTGGACAACTCCCGGGAGATCGTGCAGCAGCTCATCGACGAGTACCACGCGGCCACGCGCCCCGACTACATCTCCTGGGGCACGCAGGAGCAGTGAGCGCCCTGCTGCCGCCTCCATGCACAGCGGTGGGGCTCGGCCCGGCCGTGCCCACGTTTAGCACCCCTCAGCGCTGCCCGCCCGCGGCACCGGCTGCACACACACACACACACACACACACACACACATGCACCCACACACGCACATGTGCTGCGCTCCTCGGCGGCAGCAGCCCCGCGAGACCCTTGGCAGGGGACAGCCCCTGCTCCCCCCGTGCCCTGGCCCAGGACAGGACTGGGGCAGCTGCGCGCTGCACTGGGAGGGAACCTCTGCCCATGCGAGCACCGCTCGCTCGGAGGGGGGTGATGAGAGCGAACCCAGGGGCTTGGAACAGGCCTGGCCTGATGAGGTGGGTGCACGCAACCCCTGCGGCCAGAGGCTCTGTGTGGCTGAGCTAGTCCTTGCCCTGGGCAGGAGCCCTGTTCCTCCTTCGCCAGATCAGGCCCGGGCCACAGGCTGTATCTATATTTTTGTAGGTTATTTTGCTTTAATAAAGGCTGCTCCTGCACTGACGCTGCCTCCGCGTCTCCCTACGCGAGCAGCTGGGCAAGGAGCAGCTGCAGATGCTGCCAAGGGCCAGCGCTTGCTGGGGCCAGCCCCACCGCGCAGCCGCAGCTCTGCAGGGTCCTGGGAGCCCTTGGAGCGGGGCCGCTGCTCCCCTGCACGTCCCGGTGGGGCCGGGAGCTGCTGCCACCGGGGCCGCTGCTGCGGCAGAGCCAGAAATACCGGCAGGACCTGCTGGCACCGCTGACCAGGGCCAGGAGCCGGCGCCGCCCTGCCCGCAGCGCTGCTTCACAGGGATGAGGCCCCATGCAGGGGCCACGAAGGGGCCCTCACAACGCAGGAGCCAAGGCAGGGGACGGCCCTGCAGGGCAGGACCCGAGCTCAGCGCCAGCCCGTGTCAATGGGGACGGCCGGACCTGGCAGTGCCCAGTCCTGCCCTGCGTGATTCAGGCTGCAGGGGACAGGGCTGTGGGGTGGTGCTGGCGCGGTCCCAAGCCCACGGGCAGCCCAAGGTGAGAACTGGCCTTTTCCTCTGACCCTATGGCACGCACCAGGAGGCTAAAAATACCCCTGAGCGCCGGGCTCCCACGCCCTCTTTGGCACCAGCCCCGCCGAGGCGCCTGCTGCCGGCGCAGCCAGTGCCAGGGGGTGCCGGGGAGCCGGAGCTGCTGGGGAGCTGCCAAAGGCTGTGGCCGGCAGGCGCTGCCCCCAAGGACACGCTGTGCTGCTCCCGCTGCGGGATCAGGGCATCCCCCCCGCAGCCCCACCGGCACCGCAGCCCCATCCTGTCCTTTGTGCATTTATTAGAAAACCCAACAACTGCCCCCCCATCGCCGAGACAGAACCCACGAACGGGACAGGGGCAACACCGAGGGGCCGAGGCCCCCCCCCCGCTGCCGGCCCGGCCACCCCCGCGCCGGGAGCCCCGGACCGGGAGGAGGGCGCTGGGCCAAAAGCCGCCCGCAGCTTTCCAAGAGGGGTGGGTTCGGAGGACGGAGGCGGACGATGGCGCAGCACCGCTGCCCGGTGCCGGCACACAGGCAGAGCTGCCGGGCTGCACGGGCGCTGGAGGCGAAGGCACCGGGGCACAGGGACAGGGACAGGCCTGGGGGCAGCGCAGGGACCCGCTGCCCTCCAGGGAAAGTGCTGGGAGACGGGGGGGCTCCAAATAAATTAAGGGAGTCACCAGAAAGGCACCGACGGCGCGGGGATGGGGGGGGGGGGGGTGAGCCCCGGCCCCTGCTCCGGAGCCGCTGCGGACGAGCACAGAGCTGCACCTCGGACCGGCCGTCACGAGCACCCTGCGGGCCCGCACCGCGCACCGGGCTGGCTGGGGAAGGAGCCCACCCGCGGCGGGTGCTGCCAGGGCCCGGCCGCGGGGCAGAGCCCCCGGGGCAGCGCGGTGGGGTCAGAGGCAGCGGGGCTGGGGGCCGGCTCCGGGGACAGCGGCGGCTGCCGGGCGGCCGCAGAGGCGAGGTAGGTGTTGAGGAGCTGCGCGATCTCCTCCACCTGCGGGCAGAGCGGACACGGGGCAGCCGGGGGCAGCGTGCGTGGGGCAGGGGGGTGCAGAGGGGATGGAGCCCCCTTACCTGGGAGGTCTCGAAGAGCAGGTCCCGGTCCTCCACGGAGATGCGGAAGGTGCCGCTGTCGGAGGCGCCGAAGGAGGAGATGCGCCCGTAGCAGAAGCTGTCCAAGGGCTCGGGCTCCCCGGGCTTGTAGAGCGAAACGGCTTTGGCACCGATGCCGAGCCAGAGCCGCTGCGGCGCGGCCCCCACGGGGCTCTGCGGGGACAGAGGGGTCACAAAGCTGCACCGGCCACGGTTTCCCCCCTCCCAGCCTCCATCCCCGCAGCCCCCCGTGCCTCACCGCACGCACGTCCACGTCGAAGAGCGTGGAGCCGAAGCCGGGCCACTCGCGCACCAGCGCCACGTAGGCGGCCATGGCCTCGGGCCGGCCCATGCCCTGCAGCAGCTTCCACTTCTCCAGGATGGCGGCCATGGTGCTGGCACCCTCCTCCCGCAGGCGGCCCCGCAGGCGCTGGTCCCGCTCCGCGCGCTGCTTGGCCAGCGCCTGCCCCCAGAGCCCCCCCGCCAGCAGCCCCGCACGCAGCCGCGCGCCCCGGCACTTGGCGGGGCTCCGGTGGCGCGGGGCCGGCAGCCGCGCGTGCAGCACCTGCGGCGGGAAGAGCTCCTCCAGGCGCGGGAAGGGTGCGTGGGTGGAGAAGTCGCTGTTGAGGCTCTGCAGGCGCAGCGCGGCCAAGGTCTGCAGCGTCTCCTCCGAGGTGGGCACGTAGCCCCGAAGAACCATCTCGTGTGCCTGCGGGAGGGCGGCGGGAGCCGGCGCGGCATGGTCACCATGGCCACCATGGCATGGAACAGCCGTCACAGCACAACACAGCATGGCACGGCACGGTCACCATAGCATGGCATAGCAAAGCCATCCCAGCATGGCATGGCATGGCCATCACACGATGGCACAGCACGGTCACCATAGCACGGCACAGCACGGCCATCCCAGCATGGCATGGCATGGCCGCCATGGCATGGCACAGCCCGGCCATCCCACTATGGCACAGCACAGTCACCATAGCATGGCACAGCACAGCCATCCCAGCATGGCATGGCATGTCCACCATGGCATGGCACAGCCTGGCCATCCCAGCATAGCATGGCAAGGCCACCATGGCATGGCACAGCACAGCCATCCCACCATAGCATGGCAAGGCCACCATGGCACAGCACAGTCACCATGGCATGGCACAGGACGACCATCCCACCATGGCACAGCATGGCCACCATGGCATGGCACAGCACAGCCATCCCACCATAGCATGGCATGGCCACCATGGCATAGCACAGCACAGCCATCCCAGCATGGCATGGCATGGCCACCATGGCATGGCACAGTCATCCCAGCATGGCACAGCACAGCCATCCCAGCATGGCACAGCACAGCCATCCCAGCATGGCACAGCACAGTCATCCCAGCATGGCACAGTACAGTCATCCCAGCATGGCACAGTACAGTCATCCCAGCATGGCACAGTACAGCCATCCCAGCATGGCACAGCACAGCCATCCCAGCATGGCACAGTACAGCCATCCCAGCATGGCACAGCTCGGTGCTGCCACCCCATCATGGCTCTCACCTGCTCAAAGAGGAGAGCAAACTCCAGGCTATCCCGCGGGACATTGTCCGTGTCCAGGAAGCCGTAGTGTTTGAAGCAGAGCCGGCACGGCGGGTCCTGCTCCCGCTCCTCCCCGGCCAGGCTGCAGGAGAAGAGATTGGCCCCATCAGCATGGGGGCGGGCAGGGGGGCGCTGCACCGTCCCATCCTACCCCATCCCATCCCATCCTACCCCATCCCATCCCATCCCATCCCATCCCATCCCATCCCATCCCATCCCATCCCATCCCATCCTACCCCTTCCCATCCCATCCCTTCCCTTCCCTTCCCATCTTCCCCATAGGCAGCAGAGCAGGACATTTACTTTTCAAACCTGGTGAGGACGTCAGCCAGCAGCGTGGCGCTGCCCACGGGGTGCTCCCGCCGCCGGGACTGCTCATAGAGCGCAAAGAGATTGGGGCTCTGGGACAGCCCCAGCCGCGACACCAGCTCCTGGGCCACCTGGGGGGAGACAAAGGCAAGGGGCAAGGACACTGAGCTCAAGGTGGGCAAAGCCACCGGGGCTCAGCGGGGGCAGACCCACAGGAGCTCGCTGCCTGCCCAGCCCCTCCCGTCGGATGCCCCACACCCGCTGTGCCTGCAGCCCCTCATCACCTCCTGGGCCGTGGTGTGGGAGCTGATGGCCACGCTGCAGGCTGGCGCCCCGGGGCAGTGCACGGTGCAGATCATCTCCTGCCGCCGCATCAGCACCAGGATCTCCTCCAGCGAGGGCACGCACTCCCGCCCCTTGGTCTTCCGCAGCGCCTCCCGGATGAAGCAGGCGTACTCAGCCATCTCCGAGGCGGGGAACCGGCTCTCTGTCCTGCATAGGCACCGGGGGGGGGTCGGGTTAGAGCAGCACTGACCCGGTGAGGGCTCCCTGCCCGCAGCCGGTGCCCGGTGCCCCGCCGGCACTCGCCTGTCCAGGTGGAAGCGCAGGAAGCGCAGGACGGGCGGGGAGGGCAGGAAGGTGCAGCTCATGCAGGTGAGCAGCTGCCAGTAGTGCAGGTCTCCCTGCCCGCCCGGCGCCGGCGGCTCCGTGGTCTGCTTCACCAGCTGGCAGTAGATCTCGTCCACGAGCGGCGGCAGGTCCAGGCAGGTCTGCAGGACTCCCTGCATCAGCGGCACCGGGTCCCGCTCCGACTCCAGCTGCTGCAGCGAGTTGAAGAGCTTCACGGCCTCGTCGCGCAGCGCCGTGTAGCTGCGGGGCCCGGGGGCTGCGGGACAGCAGCGGGGTTAACAGCCCCCCTCAAGACCCAGGCATCCGGGGCTCAGTGCCCCCCTGCCCTGCACAGAGCCCAGCTTTGAGCCCCCGCCTGCCCCTCACCGCTTTGGTCCAGGCTGCCGTAGGGGAAGGGCAGCAGGGGAGCGTAGAGGGGGCTGCTGGTGTAGCGCAGGATGGGGTTGCAGCGGTAGATCTGCTCCAGCACCTCGGGGCTGTCACAGTGCTCCTGGGAGGGTGAAACAATGAATTCAGCTGCAGAGGGGCTGCCTGGCTGAGTGCTGGCACAGGTACCTATCACCGCCCAGCACAGGTACCCACCATCACCACCCAGCATAGGTACCCACCATCACAGATGGGTACAGGTACCCACCACCATCAATGCCCAGCACAGATACTTATCACTGCCCAGTAAAGGTACCCACTATCACTGCCCAGCATAGGTGTTCACCATCACTGCTCAGCACAGGTATTCACCATCACTGCCCAGCACAGGTATCCACCATCACTGCCCGGCACAGGTACCCACCATCACCACTGGCACAGGTATCCACCATCACCACCCGCCACAGGTACTCACCATCACTGCCCAGCACAGGTACCCACCATCACCACTGGCACAGGTACCCACCATCACCACTGGGTACAGGTACCCACCATCACCACTGGCACAGATACCCACAATCACCGCTCAGCACAGGTATTCACCATCACTGCCCAGCACAGGTACCCACCATCACTGCCCGGCACAGGTATTCAACATCCCTATCCAGCACAGGTACCCACCATCACCACTGGGCACAGGTACCCACCATCACCACCCAGCACAGGTATTCACCATCCCTACCCAGCACAGGTACCCACCATCACCACTGGGTACAGGTACCCACCAACGCCACCACCCCAGGGCACACGAGGCCCCACCGACCACCCCCCCCACACCAGCCCCGCAGGGCTCACCTCCACATCGCGCATCAGCAGCTGGGTGGGTGTCTGCACCGGCGCTTTGCTGTCGATGACCTTCTGCACCGCGCACACCCAGCGCACGGCCTCCTTCAGGCGCTCCGTGTACAGGCGGTAGCAATGCTTCCTGCCGAACACCGTCACGCTCCAGTAGCCTGCGAGGGACAGAGGCACGGACACAGCTCACCCGCTGCCCACCACCGGGCACAGCCCCTCCTCTGGGTGATGGAGACCCCCGGGCTGGGAGGGTGACCCAGGGCACAAGGTGCTCCCCAGCTGATGGCTGCCGGTGCCTTACCCGTCTCCTTGTAGGTCTGCTTGTCTGGCCACAGCACGGAGCAGAGGCTGGTGAGCACGAGGGAGCCCAGCCGCCGGGCCCCCTTCTCGTTGCTGCTGTAGTAGTCCAGGGAGTCGGGTGTCAGCACGAACCAGTACTTCCGAGGCCGGATCCAGGGGGTCTTCACACCTCCCCGCACCTCCCGCTGCAGCCAGCCTGGGAAGGGGATGATGCTTCAGCTCCTACTGCCGTCAGCAGCATCCATCCCACCAGCCCTTTGGTGCAGGGCAGCGTCTGCCCAGTGCTCCCCGTGCCTCTGGGGTGGGACCCAGACGTGCTCAGAGCATGATCTGCCTGCTCCGGAGGCCCCGGTGCCCAGCATGGCTGCACCCACCTTTAATGAGAGCATCGGGGTCATCCTCCACTGGCTCTGGGCCCTTCTCCACGATGAGGCTGCGCATCTCCTCTGCGACAAGCAGGGACCTGAGGGTGACCCGGGGCTGAGCGCTGGTGCCCACCGGAACCTCGCACAGCCCTGGAGCAGGGACCTGGCCTAGGGGCTGGGAGGATCCCGGTCCTGAGGGGCTCTGGGCACCCCACAAGCCCACGGTGGGAACGCAGCAAAGCCATCGGGTGCAGATGACCCTGGCTAAAAATAAGCTGTTTGCAGTCGTGGCCCTGCCAAGGAATTCGGAAAATGAACAACCAGGAAGGAATGTTGGCGGCCGTGTCGGCACTGGGAGGCCAGGGAGTGAGCAGGCCCCTGTGCCCCCGGCACCCCATATCCCTGGGCATGCACTGCCCCAAGGCATGGCCTCTGCTGGTGGACACGGCCCGGCAGAGCCTCCTGGCTCCAGCAGAGCCCCTGTTGGCTAAGCCTGCAGCAGGCAAGCCATCAGCACGGCAGAGGGATGGAGATGTGCCCAACGATGCACTGGGGATGGGGACAGAGCATGGCAATCCCAGCTCTGCCAGCCTCTGCTCTAGCCCATAGACCAGCAGAGCTTGGTGCTGGCCCTGTGGGCAGGATGGTGCAGCACACGCCAGCACCAGTGCATCCTAGACCTCCAGCCCCTGCAGCACCACGCAAGGGATGGGATGGGATGGATGGGATGCCTAAACAGGACAGACACAGGGCATCACTCACCGCTCCGAGCCGCTGCTGCTGCGGGTGGGCTGGCTCAGGCTCACCTCCAGGGACCCCTAGGGGAGGAAGGAGATGTCTCAGCCCCACAGTCACCGCCTGGCACCCAGTGTCTGCTCGCCTCCTCGCCAGCCCAGCTCCAGGCCTACAGGGGCAGGCTCAGTCCTGCTGCAGCGGGGCCGGGAGCCCTGGTGTCCCCACGGCAGCCACGGGGGCACTCCGGGGTGCGGGGCAGGCGCTCGGGCTGCGTGTCCTCAGCTGACCCGGCCGGCTGCACACCGTGCAGCATTGCACAAGGTCAGTGCTGAGTAATGCGCTTAGGGCACAAAGTCCCATTGTAATGGGGCCACTGACTTCCTGCCCGCGGCGGTGGGACGCGGCGCAGGGAAGTCCCTGGCCCCGCAGCGGGACAGGGCCCGGTTCCTCCTCGTGCGGCGCAGCTCGGCATGGACGGTGCCGCTCACGTGACGAGCCCGGGGCACGTGCTGGGACACGAGGCAGAGCCCAGGCACGGGCAGGCACCGGCAGTGCCCGGTGGGGCGGCCGGGGGAGCGGCTGCCGGAGCGCGGCGGAGAAAGGAGACGGCTGCTAAAAATAGTGCCAGGGAGGGGGGATCTGCTGCAGGTGCGGCTGTGCCAGGGCCCAGCGCCGGCGCTGCTGAGCCGGGGCATTAAGGGCACTTGTTGCACAGGGCCACTGCATGGGGCCGGTGACTGTCCCGCTGCCGAGGACCCTGCACGCTGCTGCACGGCTGCAGGCACCAAGATGGGACCAGCTCCTTACCCCCGCGAGGACGAGGCCATGGCGGCTCCTTCTCAAGGATATAAATAACCCGGAGCGGAGCCGCGGTGGCAGGGTCGGGGTAGCTGCTCCCACGCTCCCAGGAAGGGGCAGCCGCTGCGGCCGGTTCCCAAAGAGCCCTGGCCACGGTGACGGGCTCCCTAGGGAGCCGGCGTCACGGCCGCCCCCGCCAGCCCCGGCCCATGGGACCTGAGCAGCCCAAAGACAGCTCCTGCCATTGCCGTGCCCTTGGCACTGCCACCGGTGTCACCGGGCCCAGCTCCAGCCCTGCCGCTGTCCCCTGTCCCGGTGGGAGGCCCGCTGGCAGGGGATAGCGGGGGTGGGGGGCTCCGGCCCGTGCAGCAGGCACCGGGAAAGGGGCCGCAGCAACCGGGACAGCGTCACCACCCCCAGACGGGGCAGGAGGCAGCCGGGATGGGCAGGAGAAGCGCCCGGGAGCCGGGCTGCCCCCGCCGCCCCGCACTAACCCCGTTCCCCACGCAGCCCGGCCGGAGGAAGCGCCGGTTTCCGCCGCTCCGCTTCTCTATAAACAGAGGAAGCGACCGGAGCGGGGAGATCCAGGCCCGTTCCCCGCACGTGTTCCCGGGGTGCTGCAGGCCGGGATCAGCCCCGGCCGCTCCAGCCGGTCCGTGCCGAGCCGGTTCCACGCACCTCAGGCAACCCCCGGCCGCCGCACGGAGCAGGTCCGGATCCGGTGCGGGTCCGGCGCTGCCGATCCCCCGGGCTGCCCGCCCGTCCCGGCAGCGCCCCGGGTTCGCTCGCAGCCCTGCACCGCGCGGTGCCCGCGCCCCTCGGTTCTGCCTCCGAGCTCCGGGACCCCCCCGCGCCACGCGGGGACGCGCCAAGGGCAGCCCGGACGGGGGGACCCGCGGGGACGTGCGCGGGCAGGCGCGGGGCCCGGGCCGAGCCGCGCACCCACCACCGGTCCCGCCGCCCCGTGCGCAGCCGAGGCCCCGGTGCATGTCCCGGCGCCGGTACCGGCCCCACCTGGTCTCCCTGGGCGCGGAGCTCGAAGGACGCTTCCTCCTCCTCCTCGCCGTCCGCCTCCCGGTCCGCCTCGCCGTAGTCCCGCCGCAGCAGCGTGAAGCCCTGCCGGCAGCACAGCAGCCACCACAGCCCGCCCGGGAACGGCATCGCCCCGCCGGCACCGGACGGCACCGGACGGCACCGGGACGGGACCGGCCCCGCCGCGCACCGGCCGCCACAACCGGGACCGGCCCCGCCGCCGCCCCGGGCGGGCCGGGCCGGGCGCGTCACCGGCAGCCGCCAATCGCCGTGCGCGGCCCGGGGCGGAGTCAGCGCGCCCGGGGCGGCGGGGCCGCTGCTTGCGTCATCTGCCGGGCGGGGGGGGAGCACCGGGAGGAGCACCGGGGGGGGGGGGCAGGCTGCGGCGGGGCCGGTGCTGTGGGCACCAGGCACTGCCTGAGCCCGGTGTGAGCACGGGCACCGCACGCAGCTCCCCGGTACCGGCACCGGGCCCCGTGCCAGGCAGAGTGCGCAGAGTGTGCTCGTTCCAGCAGCCCCGGGGTTTCACCGTCTGCACGTCGAGCCCCACGGCACCGGTGCCATGCGCTGCCCCGCATGCCCCAGCACCAACACCCATCCCGGGATGGCAGCTCAGCCGGTGTGGTGCCAGTGCCAAGCGTGTGCCAGCGGCAGCTCATGGGCTGGAGGGCCCCATGCTTGGCCTGGTGCTGCCACCATGGGGAGCGGGTACTGGGGGCTCGTGGTGGGGTCACAGCTGGTGCCGCAGCAAAGCAGCACAGCTCAGCTTGGCCCTGGGCTCTGCCTGGCAGCAGAGGGGCCGTGGGTGCTGGTGCCGTGGGTGCTGTGCCGGTGCCTGGGCCCTGGCCTTGCTCTCAGAGCCCCAGAAGGGGTTAAGCGCATCAGCCCCTGCTCTGGCTGTGCTACAGCTGTTGGGTCACCACGGTCTGCGGGAGCCGGGTGCTGGGATGCGCACGCAGGAAGCGCCGCTGCCAGCTCTCCTCCCACACAGCCTGCGCAGGGGCTGAGCCCTGCTGCGGGGCCATTGGGGCAGGCAGAGCAGGCAGCAGCTCCACGACAGAGCCGTGGTGGGGGACACAGCGATGCGAGGAGAAGGCAGCACCGCTGCGGGGCCAAGCCCAGCACTGCCGTGGGGCCAGGGCAGGAAGATAGTGCCTGAATCTGGCCCCACCATCAGCAGGGTCAGCCGAGGGCTGTGGGGGATGAGGGTCCCATCACCCGCGCCCTTCACCGTAGGGATGCGGATGCTGAGTCAGCAGTAAAGGTGTTTCCGGCCCAGCAGGAGGTGAAGGGTCCAGGACAGCTTCTCCCATCGGAACGCTGGGCTAATCCCGAGAGGGACCTGGGGGTGAGCAGGAAGCAGCCTCCAGCCCGGCAGGACCAGGAGGTGCTTCCCCCACGTGCCTGGCTCCTCGGCGGACACCGCATTGGACGGCGGGGCCAAAGCCAGGCCCCGTCCCGCTCCTGGCACCCAGCTGCAGCCGCACGGCGCCGGGGGTCTGTGCCCTCGCACGGTGCCAGCCCCGGGGCTCGCAGCCCCTCCGGCACCGCGGGGGCAGCGGCCTGAGCTCGGCCCCACTCCCGCCCCAGCTGCCCCCCCCCCCGGGGGAACCGCGCACCCCGCGATTCCCCGCTCCCGGCCCGGTCCCTCCGCCCGCAGCCGCTCCCCGCCCGCTCCACGGCTGCCGGAGCCGCCCCGCACCCGGGAGAGCCCAGGCAGGGAACGCGGGACCGGGCGGGGCAGGGGCAGGGAAGCGCGGGGCTCTGCTGCCGCCTGCAGGCATCCCCGGCCAGCACCGGTGGGCACGGCCTGACCCGCCCCCCCCCAACCGGCAGCCCCGGCTCGCACGGGGACGGCGCTCACCCATCGGGATCGGAGCGGGGTTTATTGAGAGGGTCGGAACCAGCCCGGGCCCACCGGAGCCGCCCAGCCCCGCAGGACGCGTGACACGGCACTGCACCGCAGGGCACGCGTGACACCGCATCATCCCCTGCAGCACGTGTGGCGTTGCACGGCACCCAGACCACATGTGACAGGACATGATCCCCTGAAGCACGTATGACATTACGCGGTCCCCTGAAACACGTGTGACATCGCAGGGTCCCCCCAGGCCAGCAGCTCACTGCACAGCAGAGGCACTTGCAGGGCTCACGGGCTCTGTGGGGCCGCTCTTCCCTCTGCCTGTGTACGCGCAAGCACCGTGTGGGACATCGGCTCTGCCATGCACAGACCCAAGGGAGCCGCGGAGGGTGCGAGCGCCGGGGTGCTGGTCCCTGTCCCGGCCATGGGCACCGCATCCCTACACCACATCGGGGCAGGTGGAGAGCGACGTGCGCCGGCGGGGACTGGTGCAGCCGGGGCAGCGCTGGTCAAGGGGCCCCACGCAGCCGGCATCGCTGGCCAGCAGCCACAGCTCGCTGCGGAAGCGCTGGCCCAGGAAGGCGTAGAGCAGGGGGTTGAGGCAGCAGCGCAGGTACGCCAGCCCGCCGGTGAGCAGCAGCGCCAGGTCCTTGCGGCGGCTCTGGGCGCAGCTCACCTCCCAGCTGGCCAACAGCTCGGCCGCGTCCAGCAGCACCATCAGGCTGTGGGGCAGCTGCAGGGCCACGAACACCAGCACGAGGGCCAGCAGCACCCGCAGCGCACGGTGGGGCTGGGCACCGCGGGCCGCCAGCAGCGTCCGTGCCACGGCCGCGTAGCAGCTCGCCATCACCAGGAAGGGCACCGCGAAGCCCAGCACGACCTGCACCAGGTTGGTGGCCCCTCGAGCCGCGCGTGAGACCGCACGGGGGAAGATGACGCGGCAGAGCCAGAGCTCCTGGTGCTGCTCCACTCGGCCGTAGATGAACTGGGGCAGGGCCAGCAGCGTGGCCAGCAGCCAGGCCAGCCCCGCCGTTAGCCAGCCGTGGCGGCGAGCCCGTGGGCGCAGGCGGCAGGCGGCCGGCACCCGTACGATGGCCACATAGCGGTCCAGGCTGATGCAGGTGAGGAAGAGGAAGCCGCTGTAGAAGTTGAGGGCATAGAGGCCCTGCAGCGCCTTGCAGGTGGCTGCGCCCGGGGACCAGCCCTGCAGCGTGTCGGCAACAGCGAAGGGCAGCGTCAGGAGCAGCAGGAGGTCGGAGAGGGCGAGGTGCAGGAGGCAGACGTCGGTGATGCTGTGTGCCCGGCGGTACCGGGTGTGCGTGAGCAGCACCAGCCCGTTCCCCACCGTGCCCAGCAGTGAGAGCAGCAGGTAGACAGCAGGCTGGTAGGTGCGGGCAAAGCTCTGCACCGCCTGCTTCTCACAGAGCTCGGGCAGGATGCTCCCTTCCCATGAGTCCCCGTCCTCCCATGGGTAGAAGTCGGTGGTGGCTGTCAGCTCCATGGGGATGGGGCTGGGGGTCACCTGCGCAGAGGAGGCTGTCAGGGATGCTCGTACCCAGGGAGCCTCCTCCACCCTGCCCTGCACTCAGGCAGTTTCCATCTCACACCCACCCCAAGCAGACGGAGGTTCACTGTGTGCTCAGTCATTGTGAGAGCAACCACAAGCTTCAGGAGCAGGCACTTGCGGTGCAGAGCTGGTGGAGACGTGACCCCAGCCGTGGCGTCCCCGGTGCAGCTCCACACCCCACAAACAAACCGTGCTGCTCCTCAGCTCCCCAGGGGCTCAGCACCCAGCCCACGGCCCCAGCTGCCCTATGCAGATGGACCTGCCCAGAGCACCCATGCAGCACCCTGGGGACCCCAGTGCTGACAGCCCCGCAACTGCTCAGTCCTGCTCCCAGCCAGGGAGGTCTTGGGGGGTCCCACTGCCTTGCCCAGCCCGCAGGCAGCTGTGCACAGTGCTCCCAGCTCCCAGCCTCTTGGCCCTGCTCTGGGCAGAGGGACAGCCCTGCTCCTGGGACCCCATTGCCGTGGAGGTCAGGATCCAGCACGGCTCTGACTCAGAGCAGCCTCATGACAGCACCTTCACCACAGCTCCCACCAGTGAGCCTGACTCCCCGCCCATTCCAGGGCTGCAGCTGGGATGTGAACTCAGAGCAGCTCCTGCAGCCCATTCCCTGCTCCAGGCCCTGGGGTCCTGGGGCATTGGGCACTGCCCCGTGCTCCTGGGGCTCTGCCTTTGAGCCCAAACCCACCCAGCTCATGAGAGCCGTTTAAAAGCAACAGAAGAAGGCAGTGAAGGGGGTGTCCCCCCGGCTCCAGCGAGCCCCTCTCCCTGCAGCCCTCACCTGCTCCTCCATGGTGCAATGGGACCCTTCCCCTGGCTGCTGGGTCTGGAGCCCTCGGTGTCTCGCACTCTGCAGGCTGTGGTTTGACCACGTGCAGCTCCCGATACTGAGATGGGTGCAGAGCTCAGACCCAGCCCTGGGCAGGAGGGCGGGGAGGCAAACGTGACCCTGCTCTGGAGCGCATCCTGCATCTTTTACTCTGTGGCTACCACCTGTGCTCTGGGGATGGAAATAGCAGCACTGCTCAGCCCCTGTCCTGTGGGGCTGGGGGACAGACTGGGAGAGCAGGGTCTGCTGGGGGCATCCGGTGCTGGGAGATCCCGACCCTACTGGGCCTGTCTGTGGCTCCTGCCCCACAAGGGCTGCCTGGTTCCCAGCTGCAGAGGAAGGGCCATGGAGGTGAGCATGGGCTGGAGCTGAGTTGGGCACCCGCAGGATGTTGCTCCTAGCGCAGCCTTGCCCTGTACCCCGCAGCCCTGCAGCACTGGGTACCCTGTTCCTGGTTGTTGACAACAGAATTCCCAGCTCCTCATTAAGGAGCAGCTTAGTTCTTGTAGGGCACAGGCCCCACTTTCCCCTCCCCAGGGAGGAACAAACTGATCCCCAGCTTTAACCGGCTTCCATCCATTTGCTGTGGTAATCCCTCAATCCCCCTTTCTCCCCACTACAGCCGTCTCTGTCGTGGCTTATCCCAGCTCTGCCCTCGGCCCTCCTGCTGCCTGCAGCCAGGCAAGGTCCCTGCCAGCCCCCCCCGCCTCGCCCCACCTGCGGGTTTCTGTTCCCTCTTTCGCCTGCCAGCCCCAGGAAGCGGCCCTGGCACCCGCAGCCCTGCCCTGCGCTGCCCAGGACGGGTGGGCAGCACCCGGGAGCTGCCCACACCGAGCCCCGCCAGGGCCCCAGTGCGCCCCATCCTCGGGGCTGGGTTTGAGGGGCTCGCAAGAGCAGGGGGACACAGGGCACTGCGCGGTCTGGGGGGCAGGCATCATATGTAGGACACGGGGCTGCCAACCCCCCCTCCCGTCCCCTCTGTGGGTGTCTGGGGATGTTTGGGAACAGACAGGATAAATCCCATCTTCTGCACCACTGGAGAGAGACAGGCGGCCCCGAGACCCGCAGACCTTAATCTGCGGCTTGATTACAAACTGCTGCCACATCTGCTGCGGGTGCGCTGGGGGCACCGCTCCAGCCCCCCCCTCTCCCTTCCCGGCTACCGCAGGCTCTGGGCACCGAGACCAGGACCCGGTAACACCCGGGGAGCTCCCTGCACGTCCCTGTTCTCATCCCCAACCTTAACCCCGAGGAGCATCCCTCGGGGGCGCGGCACAAGGGAGAGCGGGGGGGGGGGGGCCGTGGCTCTGCGTTGCGCCGCATCCCGGTCCCGGGGACGCCCCCCCCGCCTCCCGCCGTGGGCGGAGCCGCCGGCCCCGCTCCGCCGCGCGGCTGCAGCACCGGGAGCGGCGGCGCCGAGGGCGCTCGGGGCGCTCCAGGATGAGCGCTCGCCGCCTCCTCGGGCTCCTGCTCGCCGCCTGCACCGGCCTCCTGCGCCCCGGGCCCGGCTGCCTCGCACGTAAGTGGGACCGCAGCCCCGGAAGCGGCCGCTCCGCACTGCGGGACCGCACCCGTTGCCCGGCCCCGCACCCCTGAGCCGCACCATTCCCCTCACCTCCGTTCTCCCGGGCATCGCCCCTTCTTCCCCGGGCATCCCCCGTTCTCCCCCGACGTCCCGGTCCGCATCGTCCCCAAGGTCACCCCCGGACACAGGCGTCCGTGCGCCCTCCCCCCCGCCCTTCCCCGGTCCTCCCCCTCCGCAGCCCCTCTCCGGTGGCACCGACCGGCCCGGAGCCTCCGGGGATGCCCCAAGCGCCCGCCCCGCTGCGCCGCATCCCCGGAGCGGCCGCGCTCCGCCAGCACCGCCGGCACCTCGGCCATCGCCACCGCGGGTACCGGCCCCGCCGCGGGGCGGCACCGGACTGGTCCCTGCGGCCCCTCGGAGCCGGAGCCCTTGGCCCCTTCCCCAGGGGCCGGGGTTGTCTGAGGACGAGCGGGCTGCGGGGGGTGGAGGCGAAGGACGGTGCAGGCAAGGGGTAGTGCACGCAAGGGATGGGGCAGGCAGGGATGCTGCAGGCAAGGGATGGTGCAGGCAAGGGATGGGGCAGGCAGGGATGCTGCAGGCAAGGGATGCTGCAGGCAGGGACGGTGCAGGCAGGGGCGGTGCAGGCAGGGACGGTGCAGGCAGGGGTGATGCAGCATTAGGCGCAGCGCGGCTGCCCTGGCCCAGCACTAAGGCCGGGGGTGCTGCAAATGCTCCTGGGCTCCCCGGTCCCGTCCGACCCGGACTGGGGGGACCCTGCATGGGGCTCGGGACCCGGCTGGAGCCGTCTCGGGGGGGTTTGCCCTGGGCGGAGCGTATGGGGGGGGTTCCCGGCGCTCACGTCAGTGCAGCGGCGGCCGGTGCGGGCGCAGGGGCCCGCAGAGGTGTGTCAGCTCCGCTGCAGTGGGAGGGCAGAGCGGGAGCGGGACCCGCAGCTCCCGCGGGGTCCCGGGGTCCCCAGAGCCATAGAGGTCACCGCAGGGCCCCGAGCCCGGCCCCAGCCCCACTCTCCCCGCAGGACCCTGCTATGATGAGCTCGTCTCTTCCCTGTACTCCTGGTCCCTCGGTGCCTCCTCCAGATACAGCATCTTCTACTCGGCCACCTTTGCCCGGCTGCACAGTGAGTACCCAGGGACCGGGGTGCAGACGGGGTCGGGGGAGAGCCATGGGCAGGGGGTGTCCCCCGCAAGGTCTTGCCTCGTGTGGGGCCGGGGTGGGGGTGAGCCCCGCAGCCCTCCAGCTCCCACCCACAGCCGGGTGCTGCAGTGGGGCTGAGCCGCTCCCCCTGCAGGCACCAGCGGCTGGTCCCCTGACCCCCGGGACAAGCAACCCTGGCTCCAGATCGACCTGATGCAAAAGCACCGGATCAATGCAGTGGCCACGCAGGGGACCTTCAACACCTACGACTGGCTGACGCGCTACATCGTGCTCTACGGAGACCACCCCACCAGCTGGAAACCCTTCTTCCAGCAGGGCAGCAACTGGGTAAGGGCTGCCCAGGGGTCCCTGCGGGAGGGGGATCCTTGGGATGGGCGACGGCCTGGAGCGAGGTGCTGATGGTGGCCCTTCATCCCCAGACATTCTTCGGGAACGTGAATGAGAGCGGGGTGGTGCGGCACGACCTGCACTACCCCATCCTCGCGCGCTACATCCGCATCATCCCGGTGGCCTGGAACCCACGGGGGAAGATCGGGCTGCGCCTGGGCCTCTATGGCTGCCCCTATCGTGAGTACCCGAGCTGGGGCTCCAGCAGCCCTGCATGGGGTGGGCTCCGCTTGGCCCCTGGCTCCAGCACGTCTGGAGAACCCTTTCCCAAAGGGCTTGTGTCCAAGCGGTCTGCAGTCATCAGCTCTGACATGAAATATAACAGGATGGAGCATTCCCCATGCCAGGTGCCTGCTGCTGCTGGCAGTGATGTGACCGGGGCCACTCTGCTCTCCCCAGGGTCCCATGTGCTCTACTTCGATGGGGATGATGCCATCTCCTACCGCTTCCGGGCCAAGAGGATCAGCACCATGGAGGATGACATCTCCTTCAACTTCAAGACTCTTGAGCAGGATGGGGTGCTGATGCACGGCGAGGGCGCGCAGGGCGACTACATCACAGTGGAGCTCAAACAGGCTCAGCTCTTCCTGCACATCAGCTTAGGTGAGCCGGGGTTGAGGGATGTAGGGCTGGTGGACACAGCACTGGGGAGCCGCCAGCTGAGGCTGCCCATCCCCAGGCAGCAGCCCGGTGCATGCCACCGAGGGCCACACGACGGTGACGGTGGGCAGCCTCCTGGATGACCAGCACTGGCACTCGCTGCACATCGAGCGCTACGGCCGCCACGTCAACCTCACGCTAGACGGGGAGGTCAAGCGCTTCCGCTGCCACGGCACCTTCGACCAGCTCGACCTCGACACGGAGGTGGGTGCAGTGGGCAGGGAGCTGCCAGGGTGCTGATGCACAGCAACCCCAGCAAGGGGCTGACCCCCTCCCTCTGCCCCCCAGCTCTTCTTTGGGGGCGTGATTGACCAGGACAAGCAGCACCTCACCTACCGGCAAAACTTCCGTGGCTGCGTGGAGAACATCATCTTCAATGGGGTCAACATCGCCGACCTGGCCCGGCACCGGAGACCCAACATCCGCTTCGAGGTCCAGCCCTGGGTGGTAGCCCCTGCCCGGGGGCCCTATCCCTGCTGTGGGGGGACCCTTTTCCTGGAGGAGGACCAGGTCCTCAGCCCCACTATGGAGTGACGTGAGGACAGGCAGCGGCTGTGCTCAGCCGAGCGGCACTGCATTGACCGCGGGAGGTTGTTCCTGGCCCGGGGCATCTGCTGGTTCTGTCAGGCAATGGGATTGATCGGGATTGATTGGGGCCAGGGCTGTGGGGATGGTTTGGGATGGGATGGGATGAGATGGGATGGGATGGGATGGGATGGGATGGGATGGGATGAGGGGGCATCCCGCTGCTCACCACCTCCTGTGGTCGCCCCCAGGGCAGTGTGGGCCACTACTGCCGGGACCAGCTGTACAACCCCATCACCTTCGCCGGCATCAACAACTACGTGCAGGTGCCAGGGATCCCCCGGAGGAACCGCCTGTCCGTCAGCTTCCGCTTCCGCTCCTGGGACACCGCCGGGCTCCTGCTCTACACCAGCTTCGCCGACCGCCTGGGCTCCCTGGAGGTGGTGCTGAGCGAGGGCCAGATCAACGTCTCCATCGCCCAGCCCGGCAAGAAGAAGCTGGAGTTTGCTGCAGGTGGGCTGCGGAGCCAGCGTGGGGCCGGGGTCAGGCTGGCGGCAGCATCTCTGATGCACGATCCTGCCCCTGCACAGGGCATCGCCTCAACGACGGCTTCTGGCACTCGGTGCAGCTGGTGGCGCGGGACGGCTCGGCCGTGGTGACCATCGATGATGACGATGGCGCCGAGTTCCGGGTGGCGCATCCCTTCCAGCTCCGCACCGGCAGCCAGTACTTCTTCGGAGGTGGGTGGCGGGGGGAACCGGGGCGATGGGTGCCTGGGGACTGCTCACCACGCTCTGCCTTGCAGGCTGCCCCAAGCCGGCCTCGGTCACCGGCTGCCGCTCGAACCAGACGGCCTTCCACGGCTGCCTGCAGATGCTGAACGTGGACATGCAGCCCGTGGACATGGAGCTGCTGGAGCAGCACCGGCTGGGGCAGTACTTCAATGTGTT